GAATTGTCTTGACATGCTCAACAAGTTCAAAATATCCCAAATGCACAAGATTGACAGTTGAATTTCCCAGTCAATTGATCAATTTTGACTGTATACTGAAAAGTCAAACTTTGACTTTTTGGTCAAAATCAAGTGTCAAGATTCATTTTTCATCAAAACATGCCAAATCATGAAACTTGTTCATCAAGAAATCCAAATTGCAAATTAGGGTTTGAAATGAAGATTTTTCATAACTTAGAATTTTTCTAAGTTATGAAAAAACCCTAATTTTTTCCTAACTTTGTCCCACTTTCTCACCTAGATTTATTTTGGATTCAAGCAAAAGTCAAAACATGAAAGTTGTAGCCTAGTGCAAAATCTACAACTTTGATTCACAAAGTTTTCCCAAAAGAAGCTTGTAGCTCAAGTTACAATTTTTGGAACAAGGGTACCAAACCATTCTTAACTTAGAGAAAATTTGACCTATTTTAGGTAAGGTTTTTACCTAACTTTAAGACCATTTTCCACATACTTCCACTTGGAATTTCAATTTGCATTTCAAAGATGGATTGTAGTAAATATTCCAAGCTTTCCAAAATGTCCAAGAACCCATCAAACAACCTCATGGTTAGGGAGAATCGAATTTGGCAAGTTGGGAAAAACTCACTTTTGATTTGGCCAATTTACATGTCCATAACTTGTGCATTTTCAAACTCAGCATGTGCAAGCTACATTGCATGCTCCTAATCCCATTTTTACTCAATAATTCAATGCTAAACCATTGTGCCAAGATGTTGTTCTATGCATTTGGACATTACATGGAGAATTAATCCTTATTTAGAAAAAGCAATATATCCATTTTGATAAAGTTGCACTTTATGTCAAATTTGCAATCCAAGTGGTACAATTCAAATCGCTTTGGCACAAGTTTATGGACTAATTGCACTGATCAAGGCCAAGGTATGCAGCATAGATTGGGGGCCTCTATCAGCCTAGAAACTCAAGTGGCCATCTCTTGCTTAAGTGTGAAGAAATATTGCATAACATAAGACAACTCTCATTTCCTGTAAACCAACCTTAAGCAAACTTATTACACACATTCCAAACATCAAACACAAGATGAAACACGAGCTATCCACCTCCATTGCCCTCTCAAACACAGAATCACACTCAAACTGTCCAAACAGAGCACCTGCTGCAGATTGAATCCCACAACTCATTTCCATCGTGCATTCTTGCCCAAACCAGTTCAAACACCTTCCCTACCATCAATGCAAGCTATCCAAAGCATTAGAAGTGGACTGTAACTCCTCTAATCAGTTTGGCCATTTTCATTTTTCTGATTTGCAGGTGGAGTTCTATAACTCGATTTAGCTAGTTTCAAAGCAAAGTAAAACTTGGAATAGCATCCCTGGACATCAAGGAAGCTGTACCAATCATCACCTTGCACTGAAAGTACCTCCATCACCAGATACAACTTCAACTGAACAGGTAAGTTCATGAACTCGTATCTCTCTATCCAGGCATTGTTAGCTTTAGGTTTGTGAAGAAAATATGTCACATTCATAGCCCTGAACATGCCCATGTAGTTAGTTTTCATTTATGTTACGTGTGCCATGAGAATTTGATGTCTGAACATTGATAAAAAATTAGGTTAAGATTTGGGAATGGAGAAATTCTCTCTCATTTTTGAGAGTTAGATCAAGTTTTTGGTATGTATGGATTCGTTGTTTGATGCTGAACATTTTTGATGTTGTGAGTTTTCATTAAAAAGCCAGGAATCAGAATGTTTGAATCAGGGTACAAAACGCGCGTTTTTTGAACAAGAATGGTTGGAGGTTGAAGAAGCTCCACGTGGGCTGGGCCTGTGTTGTTATTTCTGTTTACACCACTTGTTTGCTTTTACACCCCCTAGGCCCATTGAGCTTATTTTTATGATTTTTTGACTTTTTCTTTTTTGTTCTGACTTATTTATTTTTTCTCATAATATTAAAAATATAAAAAATATTTTTCAGCCTATTTTTGTATTTATTAAGCATTTATTTGTTTAAATGGATATTTTGTACATAAATAAATATATTACTTCTTTTTTAAAATACTAAAAAATAATGTAAATACATTTATTTTTCTGATTTTATTTTATTTCATCTTTTGAAAACATTTTCTTAAAATACACTTTTTTTTATAAATAATAAATATTTTATTTTTATTTTTTGTATATATTTAATATATTTGATATATAATATAAATGCTTATTTATTTATTACAATATTTAGGATAAAAACATGAAAATAATACATTTTTTCTTTTATTAATATTTGACCTCAAAAAATCACTTTGTCATAATATACTTCATTTTTATTTTATTTTTGTATATAATAAATAAATATGGTACATATTAAATAATTAATACTTTTATTTAAGAAATTAGGGTTTTACCCTAAACATAAAAATACCCAAAAATTAATACTTTTTATTTTGTTTACTTGACATATAAAAATACTTTTTTTCATATACATAAAAAAACATTTTTGGCATCTTGCATATTTATTTTATTTCCATTTAATTTGTGCAATTAAGTATCTTGTAAATAATTCCAAATTGATGTAATAGCTAGGTTTAAATTCCTTGTCAAATACCCCATTTGAACATTTGTACCCCCCTTCCCATATTGTGTTGTAATAGCTTAGGAACTTTATTTTTCGCACTTTAACGCTTTCTAAATATACCATGTTAGAATTAGGGTTTGTATGCGAATCAAAAACGACAAAAATAGTTTGACCTAATTTCAAGATAAACAAGCATGAAAATGGACAACACTAATCACACTTGCACCCCTAGGGTATTCCACTTGTTGCCTTCAATAAATGGGCCATGTTGCATGTTAGGTCTCTTTGGGCAAAACAAACACAATTCAAATGATCATAGTGCCTCGATGACGCTTTCGAAAAGTTGCCTAAATATGATCAAGTCCCTTAAAGGAAAATTGCCCAAAGATACTTAGCACCATTGCAATTATGGTCTAAACGATGACCCGCGCCCGTCCCTTTCACATCCTAACACAAGATTGTCCACCAAACGCAATGGTGGAACAAAATTGTTAAAAGGGTTAAAACATAGCAATAATCTTTGAGAACTTTAGGGTAGATAGCTTCTAAGTACTTGTCAACTTGCAAAACAAAAACACTTGCCTATTTTTCAAACCACACTTTCAAAACAAACTTTCAAAAAACCTTGAAACATCTTTTTAAAAAGACAAACACCTTTTGTAAAACATTCGAGTAAAGAATTGTTACAAGGGTAGCCTAGACAAGGCATCTTTTTCAAAACATTTTCAAAACACACACAAAGCACCATTTCAAACAATTGAAAACCAAGGCAAGTTGATCTAAGCAAGTACCTAAGAGCCCATGGATAACCATGGATAGAAAGGGTGCTAATACCTTCCTTTTCTATAATATACTCCCCGAACCCAAGAAAATATCTCAAAGGTTTTTGTTGTGCTTTTTTAAACCTTTCCTTAGGATAAAATAAAAAGTCGGTGGCGACTCTTGCTCAACCGAAACATTTGCGAAAACAAACGCAAAACTTATAGTCAGTTCTCCCACCGTATCACAATTGGCCTATGGATATTCTACCCCCCCCCCCCCCCCATAAGGTGGCTTCCTTAAGGGTATCATGAATGACACTGGAGGGAAAGGCACAAGGACCTCCCTTAAATGGAGTCTCTTTACAGACCGAAACTTTCGTCTCTAGGTCATGAAAGGTCTCATCATGAGATTTTGGTTTAAAGATTGTACAAAAAGTCATAGGTATCATTCCAAAGTCCTACTTCCCAAGAGGATGTCTCTCGAGAGGTATTTCTTTTATGGAATTCCACCGACTCTAGGTGAAGTCGTTATATAAACTCATAGGGTTGATGTAACCCCTTGTCTAATAGACGAACCTTCTTTCTAAGGGTTTTGAGAATAATATTTTAGCATTTTAAAATCCCACCACAGATATATAAATAATATGAATAATAAAGAATAGGCAAGAAAATAAGTAAATAATTAAATAAGAAAAATAAAACCCAAAAGAAATAAGAAAAACCATAAAAACCCTAAAATCGAAAGATAAGGCTTCTAAACCTAGGGTTGAGTCTCCAGCAGAGTCGCCAGCTATTGCAACTGGTTTTTAAATCAGAGTCGCCACCCTTAATTTTTATCCTAAGTGAAGGGAGTATAAAGGAATAACCCTAAAATTAAGAGATTCTAGATTTGGACTCGGTTCTAGACTAGGGGAAGGTGTTAGGCACCCCTAATCTACCTTGTTCACAAGGGTACTAGGTTTAGAAGTGCGATCTTAGAAAATAGGGTTTTTAATTATTATTTGGAAAAAGGTTTGAATTTTAATTAGCGGGAAAAGGGTTTAAATTTTAGTTAGTGGGATTGTTTGTGTTTTTTATGGATTGCGAAATATATTTGAATTTCTCGCATACGTGGTCTAAGAGTGTGAATAGCGGAGTTCGTTAGACCAAGTATGCATTTAATTTAAATATATTCATATTCCTTTTTCAAAAATTAATGATGGATTAATTTATTATGAAAAATAACTTGATGTTTGTTTGAGTGTTTTAAGACGTAGAGCGAGGGAGTCTGAGATAGTCTCCTCATCATGTGGCCAGATATTGGCTACGTGTCGCTTGCGGATGGAGTATTCGGTGAGTTGCGTGGGTTTTAATATTTTGAATTTGAATAATAAATCGGTAGACGATATTTCGACCGATTTAATTACTCGAAGATGGACATCCTATTATTTATATAATGTTTGAGGTAATTTAAAATATATAAAGTGTTCAATTATATACAAGTTTTAATTATTAACTTGAAAAAAAACCTATTATTGTTATTCCTTTTTTTCGTAACTCAAGAAAAGATAACCTAACTTACTAACTAACTTAATTAAAATTCTAATGGAGCTAGGATGAGTAATTAAAATAAAATTATTACCTATAAATAATACAACGTTAAACAAAATATCTAAACAAATAGACATGCTACTTGACAAGGAGTGCATATAGGATAGAGAGTATCATGACTAAAATATTTAAGCCCAACATTAAAAACTCTTTATCAAACCTAATTTTAATAACAACCCATTGTAGTTAAAATTAAAAGAGAAACAAAATCTCAACATACCTGGACAACACTCCCCAATCTCTATTTACCGCGCAACACATGTTAAGCTAACAAACAAAAAAGAATAAAAAATATCATAGCAGCATGCAGTATACCATTCCAACTTCTATTATATGCCTTTTATCTTCTTCTCTCTTTAACCTCAACCATCCTTTTCTTCAATACAAACATCAAAACACCTAGTGACGAAAACTCCAACGAAACTGCATCAGGTGGATTCCATGTGTGTTGCTTTGGTGGTGGAGTTTTGAGGAAGATGAAGATAGGAAGTTGTCGTGAAGAGGTGTCCGACATGGTTTCCAGCTATTCGAGATGAATCAAAGGTAGAAGCTACGGTTGTTTATGGTGAGGCGTGATCAAAGAAAAATCAAAGACAGAGTGGTTCGGTCTGTTCCTTGAAGTGGTTGTCGATGACTGATGATTTGTGCAGGGAGCGGTTGTCGTCATGAGGTGCAGAAGAGCGATGACATGGTGCATCAGAGTTTTGCAGCTTGAGGAGGCGGTAAAATTCGTGACAGAGGGTGGCCTCGCGGTGAGTTCGGAGGTAGCAAGCTTACGGTGGGTGGTTGGAATCATAACGGAGGAGCAGGTGGTGTTGTTTTGATGGTGATGCACGCTAGAACATGGAGTGGATTCGGGGTCTTCGCTTCTGTGGCTCGTTCTTCTCCTTTTCTACAAAACAAGCAGTTTGTTTTTTCTCCTTCTTTTCCTGTAACTTCTTGATCTCCCTCTCACTGTAATCCTCCTTATCTGTAGTTTTCTATTTCTTTTTTTTTCACCCTCTGTAACTTTTCTTTTACTGCAATGTTTTTCCCATGTTAATTGTACGCCCCTCTCCCCTTTGTACTGTAAAGCTTATCTATTTTTATAACAATTTCATATATTAGGAAGTATTTTAACGTTTTGTTTTGATTTAAGGAAGGTAAATTTAGGAAAGAAATCACAACTTTTGAATGCCACCAATAATGTTTCTACTTTTAGTTTGACATGTTTTTCTGTAGTTTTAATAAAACGATTTGTTTCTATTTTTTAGCGTTGATTCGGTAATAAGAGTTGGATTTCATTTGTAATGGAATTTTGATTCTGTATTAATGAAGTTTCTGCTTCTGTATGATCTGGTTCTGTGCTTAATTTGCAATTAATTTATTTCTGCTTATATCCTATACTAATTCTGCTTAGTTAAAGAACAATGAATGCATAGCTTATCAATTCATGAAGGAAGTGTAATATGTGTTAGCTGCTCTGAATTTGCACAGTAAATATTAATGAAATCTGCATTTTTTGTATTGTATGCACTTGCCTTGATTTATTTGGGCCACGCGTGTTTTTCATTTGGGCTTAAATGAATCATTTGATGTCCTTCTTTAACCAAACAAATTATTTAAATATAACAATTCTAAAAATAAAAATAATGGTAACTGATGATAACATTTTGAAAATGCACATTTAACAAATAAAAAGTGAAAATGGGCCACACGGTTTTGGGCTAGTTCAACCTTTATTCAAAAATAAATCAAAACAAAGAAACAACAAGTCTCTCAAAAAAAAAGATGGGCTAGATGTTTAATCTTTGGGCTTTAAACAAAAATAAAATACTTTTATTGGCCAACTGATAAAAAAAATGCGAACTCCCTTTATCCGTAAAGCGAACGAGTTAATCTTTAATGGGCTTACCTATCTGCTTTGGGCCTCCTGCGTGTTTGTTTTAAAACAAGTATATATATTTTTAATAGAACTAAAAAACTGTTATAATTAAAATAAGATGACCCTTTTTCTTTAAAACGGTTTTTCTTGACGAACACAAAGTGATTCCAAAAATGATATCAATAATAATCAACTAATAATAATAATTAAATAATATAATAATAATCAAGTAATGATAATAATTAAATAATATAACAGTAGTAAAAAAGTTGACATGGGCCACCCGCTTTGGGCCTTTTATTTCAAGACAAACATTTTAATATATATAAAACAATTTTTTCTTCAAAAGGGAATGGGCCTAGTATAAATCAAAGGTCTTAAGAGGGATTAAAAAGGCTTATTCTCCTTCTGAAAGAATATACCTTTCTTTTAAAATTGGAACAGACTTTGAAACCTGGTGGACCATCAGATATTGATGGTCCCTTTTACGTTAACACCCCCCTTATAAAAGTGAAAACTATGCAATGCAATTTTACTGAATAGAATTTTAAATATGAAAAAAAAGGTAGGACAAATTTGGGGTATGACAACTGCTTAGTTCAAAATACACCCTTGTGAAAAATTATTTAATTTTCTAAATGTTATTATAATTATTATTTCTTTTCTTATTTTACTTTCTTATTTCTTCCTTTTATTTTTTATTATATATATTATTATTATTTTTAATACTTAATTCTTTGTTTTCATTTATTATTATTATTATCATTATAACTAATTATTTTATTTAAAAACTCATGTACATATTTTATTATTGCATTAAAAAATTTTAATCATGCATTAATTAGAATTTTCGCAATTGATATAATTAAAAAGTACTCAACCAATATTAAATCTTCTTTTCGCAATAAACTAATCTAATAAACAATTTTTTGCAAAAGGGTTTCAAATATATTTTAACTAATCGTGCATTTAGTCCAAACTTCCGCTATCTCTACACCCAGTCTAAATGCGAGGAAATTCAAAATATCTTTTAAATCCTTAAAAAATACAAACTCATATGAACTACAAATTGGGACTCTGATTCCTCATAAGAGGATATGTAGACATACAATTAAAGTCGTGGCGAGTTCCCCTATTAAAACAATTAAAACCCCTTTATTCATAATTGTTAAACCTAAGCCCCCCTAAACCTAGTATCCTTAATAATAAGGTAGATAAAAGATGCATAATACCTTCCTTTCGTCTAAAGGAGTTTGAAACTTAGAATCTATGTTTTGTGAATTAGAGTTTCCTATTAGATTCCTTTCCTTAGGATAAAAAATAGTAGTGGCGACTATGATGTTAAATCCAATTGTAACACCAAGTCAAGTTTCAGAGCTCTGAATTTGAACTTCAATAGGTAGATTCCTCCATTAATTCTCTCAAAATTTGTTATTACAATGAAGCTTTCACCACTCTGATACTCATGCGTCATTTTTTTAAAATAGAAGTGAGTTTGGATCATGAATTTTCAAATCCCTATTCAACTTTTTTCTTCTGGTTTTCTTCAAATTGACTAAGCTACAATTTATATAAATTTTCGCGAGGGTACCATTGAAATCGTCTTGAAGAGACGAAGCGAATGACACCGGTCTAAGCTCCCAATTTTGCAGTTTGTTAGACCTGCAATTTGTGTGGTTGGAGGTTGAAGATGACCAACGCGTCATCTCTCACCTAATGACAAGGCGTCATTTGTTTTTTTTTTTAAAATATGTCTTTTAATTAATGATCTGGTGGTTTATTCACTAATGTTCATAACATGTATAGTACGTCGGATATCTTGGATTTGATTACTAATGCGTTTGGACATTGATCCAATGGTCTACATCATTTTGGTTTTATTTTTATTTTCTGATTTTTATATTTTAATTTTTTTAAACTTCACAAATTCATAAAAAATTCATTTCAACTTCTAAAATTATGAAAATATTCTTAAAAATACTTTTGATTTTTCTCTTTCTGTTTTTTATTTTTTCACAATTTTATTTTGTGATTTAATATTTATTTTATAATTTTTCACTCTATTTAACTTATTTTAATTGATTAAAAATATTTTTCTTAATTTTAAATTCTTGAAAAATTATGGAAGGATCCAATGACCTCTTGACAAATATTGGTGACCTTGTTTTATTTTTATTTCTTATTTTACCATTTTTCATAATTTTAGTTTATTTTGCATATTTCTTTAAATTTTAAAAATAGTTTCTGACTTAAAAAATTCCGAATAATTTTGTCAACACTTATTAACTCATATTTGACTTCTGACTATTTTTTTAGATTTTTATTTGGTGTTTTAATATACTTCGTGTATTTTACCAATTATTTCCCTTTTATTAACCATTTAAATATTGTTTATTAATTATTATTTTAATTATTTGTTTGTTCCTGATTTGGATGTTATTTTGGTACAAGTTTCTCAACCTCATTGGATCTTGGGTATTGATAGGTTGAAAAAACCAAATCCACCATAATAGATGAATGATGTTGACGATATTTGAAACCCTAATTTCATCTGACACATCCCTTTCCTCTTCATCTTATCCCTTTCTTACTTGTGCTACATGTTATTAGAGAATGAGCTACATATCATTTATCTAATATATGGTACATAGATTATTATTGACCGGCCTCAAAATAGGTGTAACTTCTAGAAAAGTCCACTTACGATTGCTTAACATAGCGCTAAATTTGTCTCGATTCGAGAAATGATTATTCATGGCCCAAACTTATGTTTGCAAACCCAAACATGTTTAATGTGAAACATTTTATCCAATAACTTTGAAGTTCATTGTTAGGAGGCTTTGATCTTATCAATCATCTAATGAACCTTCATAAACTTTGGTTTAAGTGAATCATTTAAACATCATTGATCATATGAGGTTACCTTGAGCATTTGAAATGAATGATATACTTGATAAAAAGCAAATGAAACTTGTTATTGAGAAGCTTTGATTTTATCAATCTTCTAATGAGTTTTCAAATGCAAGTTTCAAGATGGTCATTCAACTAACCTCTAAATTCTAATTCACTAACAATTGACTTTTACTTTATGCTTTTACTTTATGATTTTATTTTATGCCTTTACTTTTACACACCATTTATTTTATCATTCACATTCCATGTTATTTTATCTTTGCTCACTTGAACATTTATATTTATGTCATTTTTATTTTTCTCACTTGAGCTTTTCTTTTCTTTTTGAAGACACTTAATATTCAACTCGAACAATAAAAAACTTTTAGGTTATTTGGACTATTTGGTTACTATCCTTGGTATTGTGGATTTGTGGATCTCTTGGACATAGGATTAAAATCCTTGATTACCCTTGGGACCTTGTGACTCTACTGTTATCTTGTCTGGAGTTCTTGGGGTTTACCCCTAAGACATTGGGTTGATTTTCTTTATGTGCAGGTGTAATACGGTGGGAGAACTGACTTTTTTTGTGTTTTTTTACAAATGTTGCGGATAGTAAGACTCACCACTGACTTTTCTTTTATCCAATAAGGAAAGGGTAAAAAGAAAAGGAAAGACCTTTGAGATTTTTGAGTTCGGGGGATAGGTTATAAAAAGGGAAGGTGTTAGCACCCTTTCCATCCATAGTTATCTACGGG